CCTACACTTGATCTTGACATGCAGTAAATTTTTAAGGTCAGCTGCAATGTGACATGTAAAAACCACATAAATGACCTTTTTTGGTACTACTACACTAAAATCCAGTGCAGAGTCCTATGCTGAACTGTGAATTGATTTTGTAACATCATGCATTGTTCACCTGGTGGGGTGGGTGGGAAGGCTGATCATGCTATAAAGATCTCCCAGACATTGACACACTTCATTCTACAATATTACTAAGTTGTTTTAGTGTAAGCTGCCATGCCAAGGCAATGGTAGTGGACACTCATTTTCAAAAAACCTCAAATTTCATCACCAGTATCAAATACTGTCAGCTGTTTTCCTTCAAAGTGAGGGGTTTATTTTTGAGAAAAACCTAAAGTTTCTATAACCAGTTTGCCTGTGAATTGTGTTGGACATAAAAGTATTAGGGGGCAAGGGAGGGCAGCGAATTCAGCTCACAATTCAACCAAACTACTCAAGTAGTTTTGCTTCTATCTTGGTCCGCTGTGCAGCGTTTTATGTAGTACTTCCCATCCTGTCACACTAAACATTTAAAAAGATATACGGGCAAGGGTTAGGATTAATACTTTTCATCACTTCATCAGGCTCATTGTTAAAGAAAATTCTATTCCTAGATTTCTAAGTAATCAAAAAAAAGTTACAAACCCCAAGTCATTATGTAATAGAACTTTACTCAGACTTTGTTCCTACACTTTGATCTACTATTATCAAGTTGTGAACGGACAGCAGAGATTGGAATAGAAAAGATTGGCCATTAAAAGTTAGTGAGTTGGCCAGAAGTATAAAGTCTACTTTATGGAGCCCTAGTGGCTTAGTAATAAGGAACTGTGCTGTCAATGCCAAAGTATGTGGTTCAAATCCACCAGCTGCTCTGTGGGAGAAAAAGGAGTAATCTTATCCTTTCTCACCTCTCTACCTCCTTAAAGGGGGCAACCTCATGAGAATGTTTCTCATGCTTAATAAACTTAGCTGTCTTTTTTCTTAAAAAAAAAAAAGTAATCTCCTTCCATGTGATTCAATATCTATGAAAACCCACTACAGGGGTCAGTTGAGTGGGTGCCAGCTCAATGGTACTCAGTAACACCTATGTAAGGTTCTTCCCCTCCACTGAAAAAGAAAAATGTTAAGATTGCATCCTGTCAAAGTGTAGAGAGCTGTATAGCCATGTGGAGTTCTGCCTCTCAGGTTTCACTGTATAAGGTGTCTTGAATGTGATTTTGGAAATGCATGGTCACTTCTGACAACTGATTCACCATTAGAAAAATGCCTTCTCCAGCACAGGTTTGTGGCAAATTCATTCATCAAAAAAATGCAACCCCATGAATGGAGTCTGACTAAATGAGTTCAAACACAAAGATGGATGAAAATATATACATTTACCTCATGGATCAAAATTAAGCTTAATTTTAAAAGATGTTATAAACAGTTTAAGAAGAATAGAATAAGGACATTGTTGAAAGTAACTTCATATTTTTATTTTTGATAAAATGCAACTTTGCATCTGATTCTTTACATCATTTCAAATATGATGGAAAAAGGAAACCTCCAAACCAGTCAGCACTAATTAGTTGTCATGAATTTATAAGTACGTAAAAGGACTGAAGAAGAAAATATGACCAGTTATAGAACAGTTGGTATTTTGCAAAGTATTCTCAAGCAATTTCAAACAGCTCTTCCATCTGTAAATTAATCTTAAGCTAAAGGAAATGTAGTTGGCAGCAATTATTTAAATATTATGTTGACATGGCTATACAAATATTTAATCTCCATATTCTATTTTAGGAAATCAAATACTGAGTAACAGAAATGCCAAAGAGAGAATTGAAAAGCTGTGCATATTCTGTATTACACACAGTCCTGGATATCACATAGAAAGCATCAAGTGCTGCTGTCTGTTCATTATAGATAGGGCTCATTTAAGCCTCTCTCAGATGTCTCCAGGATGGTTCTATTTTCATCCTTCCCATTTTACAATGGAGGAGCCTGAATCTGAGAGAAGTTGAAGATGCCCTTGGTCATCTGCCAGTAGAGGGCAGAGCAGCTGTTTGGGGTACTGGTCCAAGGTCTCTTCTCCAACACAATGCCTCTGAATCAATCACCATACAGAGAGTGACGGCAAAAAGCTCTACAGCTCCTCAGTTCATGCTATAAATACCTGATAATCTAGTGTCTTACCAATTTGTACTAAGAATCTGTTAATATCTGAGTAGGGACCAAGATGCATGGATAAAATGAATGATGGGTTAAAAATACCTAAAAATAACATGATGGGAGTTACTAATGTCACTGAAATGTACACCTAAAAATGATTAGAGCAGGAAAAAAATTCCCACAAAAACCATTTTAATAACACTAAATTATGTGCAAAAGTTCATGGGATTTCAAAGAGCTTAAATGTTTTTTTACTAAAAAAGGATAAATATTCCATACCAATACAAACCTTTTAATCTTTATGACAGGTAACATAAACCACCTTACTTTTACTAGAATACTGTCAAGACACAGTTGTGTGGTTTTTATTATTCTGTATGTAACACAAACACCAATTTTAAATCTAACTAGGTATTTTTATTGAAAACATGCTGTTACCTATGGAGAATTTCTCTGAATTCAACACTGACAGTTCTATTAAAGATATTACTACTATTTATACAACAGAGATGAAGTTAAACTACTAATCACAAGGATTCTATAAAGCAACTATTATAGCTACAATTCCACAAATGTGGTAAGAAAACTCAGTGGCCACTCCTTGAAGCAATACAAGACTTCCCATCATGCAGAGTTTACAGGTCCAAGAGATGGTCTCTGTAGAGGATGGATGTTTGAGAAAGATTCCACAAACAAATAAATGTTGGCAATTAGATTTACACAAATTTCTAATTAGTTGGCTATTTAGCCATCTTAGTAATACAACATCCTTATACTCTAACTGGAAGTAGAACAGACACTGAATGAAAAATGCAACCCTATCAAAATCATTAGTAATAATTATTACACACGCAACACTAAGTATCCTTATTCTTAGATTTCCTTAATTTTCATTTCTTTCTGGGCACAGTTTATCACTGTATTCTAAGAATTCAGGAATATATATTATTTAAAAAAAAAATCTTTCCTTGAAGACCACTTCTATCCCTTTCTTGAGATACAATCAAATGAATGAAACAATACAATTTCTATGTGAAAGAGAAGTTAATAAAATAACTCACACCTCAAAGTAGCTTCCACTGCGGCCCAACTATGATTAATCATTGCTCCTGGAGATTTTCCAGGAGGCAACAAAAATAGATTGGACTCTTAAGTACCTAGGCAAGGGAAGAGGAAAAGAAAAGAAAACCCACCAGCAAAAACATGAACTGAGGTCACAGCTCTGTTTTAGACTCTTCGGAGAACTATATTGGTTAGTTGAAAACAAATGTTTAGGTTGCACACACTCTCTCTCTCATGACCAGTTATCACATGCATACAGTTTACACATTCTTAGGAAAATAACATGGAAGGACATGTACAACACTTGTGTGTTGTTGTTGTTGAAGCCATTTTGTGGGCTCTGACTTATAGCAGCCCTGTGTAAAACAGAGTAAGCAGTGTACAGTGCTGTGCCAGCTTCACACTGACTGTTCTAGAAGGAAGTTTAGATTCAGATAATGAGAATTAGTCTTTTAAAGACTAGTTTCTACCAGTCTTTAGTCCTAGATGCATTCCACCTAATAAGTGACCAGAACTCCACAGAAGAACAAACTGCTTTTCTGTGCACTCATACTCTAAATTGCTTTTCAATTTACTGTTAATACAGGTTCTGACCTCAGACTTTTGACATTTAGGAAAGAGAATGCGAGGAGAGAGGGGTTAGAAAAGAGATGTTGCTCTTTTGAAGGCATGTTCAAGTTTATTACCTTCTGTATTACTTTTATCCTGGGAGAGTTGGCTAGAGACTGTTTCACAAGTTATATGATGGATAACTTCTTATAAAGTTGTGTAAGACTTAAATACTTAATTTTCATATTAGAGATGACAATGTTAAAGTTTGGCAGGGGGAACCCAAAACCCTAAATTCCCAATAGAAAAAAAATGTACACACAATAAAATACATCCTTAACATAAAGTAAGGGTATAATATACTCTGTGGCATAGCATTTTGGGTTTTTTTTATTTCTTGGTGGTAGTTTTTCCATTCAGAGACCAGAGAGCTTGTCTTTTTATTAATATGTGATTCCTTCCTCTTTCCCTAGCATAGGGAAAATTTTATAGAAGACTTAAATTTGTACAAAATGTTAAGAAATTAGACTTTCCTTTATATATAATTTAAGTGTGTATAAAGCACTCAAAAATGTAGCTTATGATTTCTGAAAATGACATTTTTAACATAATCTTTGTGTTCTGTAAAAATAATCTACATACATGCATACCATTAAAGAATAATTCAGGAAATTTCCTATGCACATAATGTTACAGAAAAAAAAAAGTCACAATATAGCAACTATTTCCAATGTTACGAGAACTTGGTGCCACCTAGTGTTCAATTTCTGCAACTACTGATGTAACAAATTCCAACTTGTAAAATTACAACCAAGGTTCTAAAAAACTGCATTTTAGAAATGCGTTTGCATTGATATGTCTTTGGTGGCAACCCAAGAGAATGAAAAGAATTGTATGATATCAAAATTAGTATAAAAATAGCCACATGCGACTTAAATATGAAAAAACACACTATTAATTTTTTTACTTTAAATGCAGACTTCTGCCATTTTTAAACGGTATCAAACTCTCAAGGGGGTTATCTAGGTTAAGTGGACGACACAGAAAGACTCTGTGTACAGTCAACAGACTAGTCCAAATTACAGCTTAATGAGAATTCAAGAGTAGGGCAAATGAATCATTCGAAATAGCCATTTCTGGGAAGTGAAGTGGTCAAAGTAGGAAAGTCTGTTTTCCATTCCCCCTACCCACCCATTTCAACCGTTCATCTTGTAGTCTTTTATCCATAAGCTCCACTACACCAAAAGAACAGAGAATGTTTAATATTTCACATAAGATAATCAATATTACCTGTTTTTAAAGAAAACACCAATGCCTTAAAAATAAATCAGTCTGCTTTAACAAATTGCATTCATGCTAATGAGATTTTAATCTTCCACAGCAGGCCAAACTCCAAACTGAATGACAATCCTCAGAGGAAATGGAATGTTGAACGTTGAGTTCAGTTTAGATCTAGAAGTGAAATGAAATCAAGTCAAGCAAAAAAATAATTCTTTCATTAAAACAGTCCACCGGCTGCTCAGGGGGTTAAAGATGGGCCATCTCCTCCCATGCAATTTATAGCCTCTGAAACACTGCTGGAGGGTTAGCAGCTATGAGTTGGTTCTGACTTGATGGCATATAATACCATCACCATGATCACTACATATGAAAGACTTTGCCCCTTAGGCAATCTGATACAAAAAGGCCCATTTGAAGAAACTTTTCTCTTATAAAAACCGTTAACTCTGTAAGCCTAACAGTTCTAATTTTAAAAATTGTCAAAGTACAGACTGACCAGCTGGCTTCTAAATAATACTTAATATTTCAATTAATGCTAAATCTCAAAATATACTTTTATGTAAGTGGTCAGTAGTCTCAGATTAAAGGGAGTTAAGGGAACAGCTGAGCTTTCTGTGGTTAATTCATAAACAAAACTGAAAAATTCAACGCTTATATACTTACATCATCAATGTCCTCATCATCATCACCAATGTCATCAAACTGGATTTCATCATCATCTCCTGGGCCAAATGTATCGGTTTCATTGATTTTAGCTAAAAACAGAAAGACAAATAAAGTCACATAATATGTGATCAAGCAGGTGTTATTAAAACAAATGACTGTTCACTAAAAGCAGATGTGAGACTAAATGCTGAACTATAAAAGGAGACTCTTACAAAATATACCTTAATTCAGTCTAAGTTTCATAATAAGAAAAATCCTCCTAACTGCTACCTAACAACTTTATCATGCATACCAATAGTCTTTTGCTAAAAATATTTCGTAAGAAGGCTTGAATTAAACACCTCTCCTTAAACAGTAAAAGTGAACCAGGAGGTTTAAATCTTAATTCAAGCTATTATCAGTATTTTCCAGATTGGAAATACTAAGAATATCATGTAAAGATTTTCATGCTTAAATAAAATTATGCTGTTTTCAATACAAAATATAATGAATCAAACCAAATCAACAAACAAAAGCTTACAAAATAGTATGTAAAAAATGTATAATACTATGTATATTACATTTCTTCTTTGATGAGGTTATAAGACTTTTAATTTTATTCAATTGTTCTGCACTAAAGGAGAGGAAAAGAAGGCTGGGTTTCCAATTAAAATTAATCTTATAAAACAAAATGTGTACCAAAAAAACCCCAAACAAAACAACAGCCACCACCCAACACATTTCTAAAGTCATATAAATTTAAAAAACCAAAAATCTCATGGGTTACTACTATAACCATCTAACAATTATCTTTGTTTTATATGTAGCTTAAATACTAACAGTCTCTTCCTGAAACAATTAATCCTCCAACTAGTATTATTGAACAATCCAAGGCTCATAAATTATAACTGCTCACCAACTGCATCTACTAAGAACAAATCCGAGTTATATCTATTTCATAGTATCTAGCTCTGGTGGTTAACAGTAATTGCACAGCCAATGAAGGAGTATAAGGTTTAAACCCACCATCTGCAAGAGAAAGACAGACCCCCCCCCCCGTGTCATTTAGTGTCACTAAAAACACATGCTGGAGGGTCAGCTATAGGTTACTTCTGACTCAATAGTACACAACAAAAACAAGTATAAAAGAGAGCTCTGGTAACACATATCAAAGAGAGTTGTGTTATTAACCCAAAGACAGCACCCTCTGAACCCACCAGTGGTTCCAATGGTCAAAGGAGGAGCAATCTTCCCTCATGATATACAGCCTTGGAAGCTCAAAAGACGGTCAGCTACTGTTCTTGTTAGGTGCCATCATGTCAAGTATGACCCATAGCAACCCTATGAACAACAGATCCGAAACCCATCCTATCCTGTGCCGTTCTCATACTTCCTGACACATTAGAGCCCGTTACTGCAGTCAACGCATCAACCCATCTGTTTGAGGGTCTTCCTCTCCTTTGCCAACCCTTCACCCTGCCAAGCATCATGTCCCTCTCCAAGGAGCAGGCCCTTCTAGCAAAATAACTGAAGTATGTGAGGAGAAGCCTCATCATCTTTGCCTTCAAAAGAAAACTCTAGCTGCACCCTCTCCAAGACATATTTGTTCATTTGACAGTCCACGGGATGTTCAGTGCTCTTCTCCAACACCACAGCTCAAAGGCATCAATTCTTCTGTCATCCTTATTCACTGTCCAGCTCTCAGATGCACAGCAAGTGACTGGAACGACCATAGACTGAATCAAATGTACCTTAATCCTCAAATGTACCTTAATCCTTAAAACTTTGGAGAGATCCCTAACTGCAGGCCTTACCAGTGGAATAAGTGTGATTTCCTGACTGATGGTACCAAAATGACTGAAATGCAGAAGTTGGAAACAATGAAGAAGGAATTATTAGTCGGAAAAATACAGACCTGGTGATAATTTCTATCACTGGCTAATTTCTATCAGCTGGAAACAGAATGATCACATTTTCTATTTTCAATGACTTATTCCTTGGAAAGACCTTTTTAAAAGGTCTTTACACATGGATCTCATCTGATAGGCTGTGGAAAGAATCGCTGGAGAAGCTCATAACTGGCAGTCAAAAATGGCCAGGAGTGGATTGTTGGTCAGACCTTCATTTACTCATGTGCAAGTTCAAATTGAGGCCAAGGAAAATGAAAATAAGTCCACAAGAACCAAGATACGATCCTGACTCTACTGCATCCGAATTTCAAGATCATCTTAAGAATAGGTTTGAAGCACTGAAACACCAGTGTTCAAAGACCAGATAAGTTATGGGATGATATATTAAGGACATGAAGAAAGCAAAAGGTCATAACAAAGACAGAGAAAAAACTGAAATGGATGTCAGAAAAGAGCTGGACAAAAGATTTCTAAGGAGAGCTCAAGAAGGCAAAGTATTATAATGGAATGTGTAGAGAGCTGAAATTGGAAAAATAAATAAAAAGGGGAAAACTCACTCTGATTTCTCAAGATGAAAAAACTAAAAACTAAATTTAAACCTCAAGTTGCAATACTGAAAGATGCAATATATTAAAGCATCAAAAGAAGATGGAGGAATACACAGAATTACTACACCAAAAAGGACTAACTGACACTAAGAAATTTAGGAAGTCCCATATCAGCTGGAGCCAAGAGTAGTGAAAGAGGAAGGAGAAGCTGCATTGAAGGCATTGACAAAAAATAAGACCCCAGGAATCGATGGGATTCCAAATGATTTGTTTCAATTAACAGATGGAGCCTTAGATGTGCTCCCCAGTCTATGCCGGAAATTTGGAGGACAGCTGTCTGGCCAATATATTGGAAGAGGTCCCATTCCCAAGAAAAGTGATCCAACAGAGTGTGGAAACTATTGAATAATATCATTAATACCATATACCAGCAAAATACTGCTGAAGATCATTCAAAAACAGCTAGAACAGTAAATAGATAGGGAACTGCCAGAAGTTCAAGCAGGATTTAGAAGAGGCTGTGGCACCAGGGATACAAGTGCTAATGTCAGATGGATCCTGCCTGAAAGCAAAGATTTAGCTACTAGTCAGTTTCAATTCCACAGCAATGATTTTGAGTAGTATATAGAAAGGTATTCTTAAACAAATCACACACGAAAAATGCTACCAAAATTTTCCATCCTGAACACCAACAATTACATCAAATGACAGCCTAATATACTAATTCAGAAATTACCATGTTCTGGAAGCTCGCCATATGCCTTCAGACTTCTAGCTTCATCCGCATTGTATTTTAAAATGACATCAGCCTTGTTATCCTTGAAAGAAAAAGAAACTGACTTTTAGAACTGATTATGCCATAAAAGTATCCTTTACTTCATAAACTGTCTTTTTACTAGAAATCTCACTGTTCTGTGAAAAATACTTTCTTTTTAAAATTTTAAAGATTTGCCCTACTCTCTAAAAACATCCTTGGGTTTCAACCAGTAAGCAGCAGCCTACATGTGGGACTGAATAAAGATGAAGAGTTTAAAAGGAATTCTTATAGAACCCATTCGAATAATAGCAGAACTGTGCAGACCCAACAATCTTTAAGATTATTTGGTATTTCTCTTTGAAACACTAAATTTCCTGGGACTTTATTTTGAAAAGTGGTTAAACACTGTGCCCCACAAATGTAAACTAGTATTAACAATCCAAGTCAATTAACATACTTTTCTGTTTTTACCAGTTGTTTTAAAGGTATTTAATAACTAGAACCTCCCATAAAGGTTCTATTTTAAATTTTTATAGAAGACAAAATCTAAGGTGAAGCCTAAGAATTTGTCATTTTTAACAATCCTCTAGATGTTTCTGATGGAAATGTCTTCTGGAGAAACATGACCATGACTTCTTTATTTAAAAAGAAAAGAATCTGACTCAGTTACCAGTTCGAAAGAGAACCAGAATCATCACAGTGAAGGGAGGGTAGTATGGTTCAGGCCAGGACTTCAGAAACTATGTGTAAGGGAAATCCATGGAAAATGTTAAAATCAGGGCTCTGAACTAGTTTTTCCTAGCTCAGTCAAGCAAACCAGGATGGACTTCCATTTTACAATGGTGGGTAAACTGGAATAATAACCAGAACGGGGAAAAAATACAGGTTGATTCCACACTCTTAGCAATAATCTACTCTTACCAGTCACCTGAAAAAGTTCACTCTGTCCCTTTCTGAGTTGCCAGGGCATTCTAGCACAGACTGTGCCAGGTAAAAATGACTGGAAGCTCTGGTTAAAAGGTGGAGCAGATTTGAAAAACTGGGGTGAGGCCTGAGAATCTACCTTACAACAACCCTACACATTCAGTAATTCCCAGGGGTTGATGATCTCCTCATCACTCTTCAAGCACAGGAGGATGATCATGAGATAAAAGAATCAGGAGAGCTGGCTAAAGTTAGAATTTTACTGCTTTATTTTCCTCATCTGTCATATAGGGAGTGAGTCCTCTCTTTGTCTAGGGTTACTGCTATGCTCACAGAAGGAGGACACATAATTGGTATGAATTAGAGGCAGATTATATAGTTATATGTTCTAACAATTAACACTTCACTAAATTCAAGTAAATCAATAAAGAATTTTAAATGCAATTTTTTACCTGATAATCTCTGAGTCCAACCAATATGATGTCTGAGGTATTTATCCAGACCTAGAAAAGAAAACCCACCACATATGAATCTTAAAAGGAAATCAAAGAACAAAACAAAAAAGCAAAGTATCAACAGCCTATTTTACATTTTGTGGAATTTTCAAGATTAAAAATATAGCTTTCTTCTTTTAACAACCTGGTAGTTTAATAATTTCAGAGTAATGATTACTAGCTTAGAAAGTAAGAGATTTAAAATCATGAACCACCTCAAAATGGTTAACCAAACCACCAAAGCTAGTGCCGTTGAGTCAGTTTTGACTCATGGTAATCTTCATTGGGTTTCAGAGGCTGTAAATCCTTATGGGAGGAGACTGTCTTTTTACCCAACTGACAACTTTTTGGATAGCAGCCCAACACTTAAAGGACTATTTACCAGAGTGCCTTACAATATGGTTAGTTTTCTTTTGTAACTATGTTGTTATGGAAAATTATAAATTTTCTGAAATATAAAATTCATCATATTTTATTTCTATTTCCCATCTATCCAACCACCCATCCAAACTGTCATCAAGGAAATCATATTCAATTCCCTACCATCAAGTCAATTCTGACTCATAAAGGCACTGAGGGACAGAGTACAACTGCCCATAGGGTTTCCTGGCTGTTGATCTTGAAGGAACAAATGCCACCTCTTTTCCCCACAGAGCAGAGGGTGAAATTGAACAACTCACCTTTTACTTAGCAGATGAATTCTTTGAACTACTGAAACACCAGGATCCTTTCTCACAGATACAACCACAAAGCGTCTTAGGTGGTAAAGATTACATAACCAAATTTAAATCAGAGTTGGAAGGGCCTTTTTTTTTCCAATTCAAAAGAGCTTTCATAAATAAAAGCCCACTGTCTCAAAGAGACTACCAAGAAGGAGTGAGTCCCACTGTGCTGGTGAAAATTTACAAAGAGGAAGGGGAACGAAGGGTAAAAACCATTATTTTAAAGCTGAAACACTGCTTCTTCAACCATTCATAAAGTCACTTAATGATACAGATAGGTATGAGAAAAATGGGAGTCCATACTTGCCTTGTATACACAACACTGGGCAAGTAAATGCCAGCTGCACTATTTAGGAATGACTTGCTAAAACATTGAAAAAATGAAAGACTTCATCCTTGTCATAGAATGCCACTTCTGTGGAACATTCAGTGCACATGACTGGGTGGTAAATTTCTTCTCCTTCTGTCTCTGCCTGTTTTGCAGCATCTCCCTGAGTAAACCGCATCTTCTTATGGTCCCATCTTTTTTTCTTGTTTTCTGGGATTTTGTACCTTAGAATCTCTTCTTTATTGACAGAACAATTCATCACAAACATTGCTCTATATTGAGTTTTATATGATTCATGCCTTTGGCAGTCAAGGCACAGTGTGGTCATGCAGGCTGGGCAATTCAAAAGAGCATCACCATTAGGTACAGCTGTTGTTGATGTGGCCGCTGTAGTCCAAATCCATGATAGCCTCTTCTCTGTGCATCAACCCAAGCCTGATCCTTGTTATCCTTTTCAGGATCGTAAAGTAATTCATGATTTGTTGGAATCCGGTGTCGCTTCTTTTTTTCCTTGGTCACCTGTGCTGCTTTGTCTTCACCCTCAAAATCAAAATCAAAATAGACATCATCATAGTATTTTGTCAGAGCTGCTCCAGTTTTCCCATTTCCTGAGGAAGATCCTGTTTCCAGAGAGGATAACTTGTCCTACATTGTCTTATGGTGGAATTTAATTCTGCTTTCATTTCTTTTTCAAATTCAACTTCACCTGATGATTCACTTTCTCCAGTGAGACATTCTCTGATGAGTTTTCATTTTTGGTCAGGGGTTCCATGTAAAAGCACTTCCACTTCATCTTCAGAGCTGCTTACAGCCGGCTCCTCGTCACTGGGCTCTTCAACAGCGTAGGGGTCATAGTCTTCTGATAACTGGCTCATGGCTGCCTGCACCAGCCGACAGAGTGAGCCTGGAGACAACTCTGTGTATCTGTTTACCACTCAGGTCCTTCCCTCAAGAGTCCTCCGACTTCACTTAAACCCACACTCGGAAGGGACTTTTAACAAATCTAATTAATTGTTGTTGTTATGTGTCATTGAGTCACTTGCAACTCATAGCGAACCTATGTACAACAGCCCTAAACCCTGCTCTGTCCTGTGCCAAATCTCATGGTCTCCAACACACCCATCCCGATTACCCCAGTCACTGAATCAATCCACCTCATAGAGGGCCTTCCTCTCCTGCGCTGTCCCTCCACCCTCCCAAGCGTGATGTCCTTCTCCAAGGACTGGTCCCTCCTTGCAATATGTCCAAAGTATGCCAGACAAAGCCTCAGAATCTATGTCTCCAAGAAGCAGCCTGGTTTAACCCTCTCTAGGACAAACTTGTTCGTTTTAGTTACTCTTCTCCAGCACCATAGCTCAAAGGCATCAATTCTCTTTCTAGTCTCCCTAGTCATTATCCAATTCTCTGATGGATAGCAAGTGAATGCAAAGACCATAGCCTGTATCAGGCACACCTTAGTTTCCAGAGTGACACCACTGCTCTCTCCAGTACTTTGGAGAGGTCTCTAACAGAAGACTTTCCCAGCGCAATAATTAATATACTTTGGAAAATAACAACAAATTTTCCATCACAGTAATGGTTCATGACCACTCGGGAAATTTAACATGAAGGCAATACTTAAGAGTTTATACCTAAATTTTATCAAAATTCTTTACAAATGTCCCCACAACTCTACTCCCAAGGAAGAATCAGCCAAGATATTTAACTATCAGGTCTTGTCAGTCAGTCTCCTTTTTCTTTCACAATACTAACATTAGATAAAAGGCCAGTCATTTGTTTCACAGGTAGCCTTTCAATTTGGATTTGTTAATTGTTTCAAGATCAGCTTTTCAGGCTGAGGAGAACTATAACACAGGTGATAAATATGTGTTATCTAGAGAATATGTAAAATTATCATCAAAGATCTTGCAGTCTGACTCACTGTAGGTAAATCACTATAAACCTCTGAGATCTTTGGGAACTTATGAGTTATTTGGTCCATAAAAATGGAATGTCTTGGAGAGGGCGCAGTTGGAGTGCTCTTTGGAGGTAAGAATGATGAGGCTTCGCCTCACATACTTTGGACATGTTGCTAGGACGGGTTATTCCTTGGGAGAGACATGATGCTGGGAAATGTGGAGGGTCAGCGAAGGAGAGGAAGGCCCTCAACCAGGTAAATTGACATAGTGACTGCTGCAACAGGGTATTGTGTGTCAGGAAGTGTGAGGGTGGCACAGGATAGAAGAGGGTTCAGATCTATTGTTCATAGGTTTGCTATGAGTTGTACACTACTCGACAGCACCTAACAACAGAGACAATTTTAACCCTAACCAACTTTATATTAATAAACTATTATCATACCCACCTTTTTCCTCAGTTTTCCTCTGATGTGACATAACCTTTTCACACCATCGAAACACATAGCTTCTAATCGTCCATTCCCCAACATTTTGATTACTTGTGCATATTCTGTAGGGAGGGAAAGATGTATGAAATACTGTTCAACTTTTGATAAAAGCAAGCTAAAATACTAGGTCCACACGAAAGTGACAAAAATTGCCAGACTGGCTAGGAATAAGTACAAGTGTAAATAAATACAAATTTAGAAAGAGGATCACCTAGGGACCAGAGGAAGGATAGAAATACAAAGATACTGAGATAAAAAGATACTGGTAATGTTTAATTTCTCAAACAGAATATTAGAAATCATATATATATGCGCCTCTGGAAACTATGAACTTTGAGAAACATTTTGATAGTTATAGAAAGACTTCAGGCTTTTTGTTCATAGGGTTGCTATGAATCGTGTTCGACTTGACAGCAATCAACAACATGTATCACAAATAGAGATAAAGAAATATACAGAGTAAATTTACTAAAAGCGAACAATTACATCCAACAGTCTATGTGTTGTGTTTTTGTTTTTATTTTAAGGTAAAGGACATTACTGCAACTATTAAAAATGGTTGGTATTCTACTGAGATTCTTCTTTCAAGGTGACATATATTCTATTTAACCATTGAAACCACAGCAGCAGTCTTCATCACCGGTCAATTTCTAAAGCCTTGCCCAGGTATGTTTCTCTACGCCAATCCTCTCATTTAATAGAGTAAACAGAAGCCTATAGAGGTCAAGTGATTTGTTCAAAGCTGGTTAATGAGCCAAAATCAATACTTTATAATGCCATTTCCACAATTATCTCTACTACCATACAGATTTTAACCAGCTATTCATTTGATGCAGAGAGACTGCTGTATGCTCTACTTTCCCATTTCAAGGTGGCTTGTCAAATTAGCACATTTGGATCCTGTCCTCCTCATTTTGGCTCTCCTGCAGTTATATCTCAAATAATTTCAATCTACTTGAAAAATAAAGGAGGAGCCTGGGTGGCACAGTAGATTAAACATCAGCTGCTAACCAAAAGATCAGCAGTTCAAACCCACTAGCTGTTCCTTGGGAGAAAAATCTGGTACATCTGCTTCCATAAAGCTTTACAGCCTTAGAAATCCACATGGCAGGCTCATTCTGCTCTACAGGGTTAAGAATTGGAAATAAAAAATAGTGGCGCTGGCTGAAAATCGCCTGTGACTTCATCCATAGCCACTGGTGAGAGTCAGCGCCCAGAGCCATCAGGGGCTTTAAGCTCGTTGCCCACTGCTGTGGTGTGGACAG